GTTTTCATGCAGCTCATACCATATTATTTTATTGTATTATTTCCGTCACACCTTAAATGCCGGTCCCTGAAAATATTGTCTGACATAAACCGGTCCGTGGGGCAAAAAAGGTTGGGGGCCCCTGGAATACACGACAAAAGACAAGATTTTTAAACTTCAAACTGATAAGAACTTGATTGCTTTTAGCAAATAATCATTAACTTAGAATGTCATGGCTGCAACACCTTCCAAAAAGCTGGGTGGGACAGGTAGCAAAACAGACTGAGAAAATTGAGGAATGCTCATTAAAAAACAATTTGGAACATCCCAAAGATGAAAGGGCTAACTGGGAACAGATGTGTGCCATGATTGGCTCGAAAAAGGAGCTTCTCCGAATTGCTCAGTCATTCACAAGCAAATACGAAATCCACAAGTTCTAAAAACAATTTGATGATGAAATCCCTCTATTCCTCGCAATTGTACGTTGGCTTTTATCCTCAATCATGGCACCCACCTCCCAGTTAGCTTGCTCACCTCTTGCAAACAGGTGTTTGATGAGCATTCCTGAACTTTCTCAGTCTTATTGGCCACCTGTCCAACATTTTTTGGAATGTGTTGCAGCCAGAATGATTATTTGCCAAAAACAATAGAGTTGATAAGTTTGAACACGAAATATCTTGTCTTTGTAGTGTAATCAAAAATTGTTGAGAAGAAAAAGCCTAAACATTGGATATGGTCATTTTTGGTAGCTCCTGAGAACATCTTGCGTGAAAGTAACGATAAGGTCACGTTTAAACTTCCTACAGCTGCTTTGTCCCAATCTCCTGCCACAAGGCTAAGCCAGTAATTTCAACCATAAAGGAGTACGGCATTTTCACGACTATAAGACGCCACTGAAAGTCTTAAATTTTCTCCAAAATGGACAGGACGCCTTATAATGCGGAGCGTCTAGTGCAGACATGGGCAAACTACGGCCCGCGGGCCGGATCCGGCCCGTTGGTCTTTTTAATCCGGCCCGCCGAAGGTTGGTACAGTACACAATTAAGGTTCGATGTAAATTATTGCATTCATTTCATTTGGACTTGTAATACAGACATTTAAACGCCAGGTGGCGCAGTTACTTGAAGTCGCATAGCACAAGGAGGGAGGGGGAGACGATACGGAAGCCCGGAGTAGCACTAACTCAAGTAACTTAGTAACGAAATAGATGTATCCCCATCGCTATTTTCTGTCATTGGATCCAAAACGGCGACATGCAAGCGACTCTTTGTTGCAGTGAGTTTTACTGGAATTGCGAACATTTTTACATCCTTTATTAGAGCATGGCATCCAAACAAAGAGGAGCGGTAATGGCCGCGGAAGAGAAAATGAAGTGTATCTCTTTAAACGAAGTGAGTTACGAAGTACGAAACATTCAGGAGACGCTTGGAGTCTGGAAGACTCAAATCTACGAGACTTTGAAAAACGAGGAAGCGATTCTTGCTCAGTCCGATTCGGGCTATTTCCATGCTCAGAGTGAATTGCTTGCGGCTCGACGGACAGTCCAGTAAATGAACGTTTCCTGAAATGGCTTGACTGTTATCGTGCTAAAAACTTTTTGCAAACTGGACCGCGAAGAAGAGAGAAAGCGAGTTCCATAACGCTAACTATGGGCATTGAATACTTCGAAGCGTCCTGTGGCTGGCTTCAAAAGTTCGAAGCACGACATCAGCTGACCAACGCTGTCTTGTGTGGTGATCGAGGGGAGGTCGAGTTCGAGACAGTGAGTGAGTGGAAAGAAAGCCACCAGGTCTTTTACTCGTCTCATTTTGGAGCAAATAGTCCTACCTTTGTTATATTTTCTCATATCTTGTGCTTCTTTATACCAAAACAAAGGAAAGACATATTGTTTTGGTTATTTATAGCAAAGTATGGTATCATTTTAATGGTCCGGCCCACTTGACATCTACTCAGGCCGTATGTGGCCCACCATGTGAAATGAGTTTGACACCCCTGGTCTAGTGTATGCGCTGAGTTCCAAAGCCTAACTGAGAGCACCTCTGGCCGACACGCTTTTTATACAGAGAAAAGGCGGGCGTGAGTGACGACAGGCATGCGGAAGTCCGCCAATGAGTGAAGGGTGGGCGTGTAAGAGGACGCTAAAGGTACGTCCCTAGCAGGTACCAGTAGCCAATGAGTGAAGGGTGGGCGTGTAAGAGGACGCTAAAGGCACGCCCCTAGCAGGTATCAGTCGCCAATGAGTGAAGGGTAGGCGTGTACGAGGACGCTAAAGGCACGCCCCTAGCAGGTACCAGTCGCGTGAGTACGTTGTAAAATGGCTAAATAAAGTACAATCGAACTCAGTTTTGCTTCCGTTGCCTTTTTAAAAACATGTTTTTAGCGTGTGTCCGTATGTCTTAGCTGCTACCGTATGCTTTAAGTTAACATACCTGGTATGTTTTAGCGTGCATGCATGCTACCGTATGCTTCAAGCTAATGTGTTTTTAGCGTGCGTGCATGCATGCCGTATGTTTAAGCTGGCGTATGTTTTACCATGCCTAGCTGCGCCCAATAATACAGTGCGTTTTGTGTATGTGTCAAATACAGAAATAGCACCCGTTACTGAGACTGCGCCCAACAATACGGTGCGCCGAATGGTCGTGAAAATACGGTACCTTCTCCCATTTTGGCTGCATATAAGCCTTGGAATAGCACAGAGCTAAATTGTCCTAAGGAGTGATCATACCTCGAAGGTGCCACACCCACAAGGTTGGGTCCAAGTCCTCGAAAGAGCGACCGCAGTCCCTCTCTCTCGAAGATTAATCTGCAGAGAGAAAACAGTTGATTTAATACATACAGCAGCCATATTTTTCATTCATGTGTATGTGATTGGGTGTGAGGCATACCGTGAGTCCAAAACCTTCAAGCAGGAGAAATGATTTAGATTTAAGTACTCAAGTAGTAATGAAGTCATGATGAAACAAAGTTGAGCAAATGCTATTGCATTTGACATTCCAGCTGTTTTCTGGTAAATGTAGAGACAGACAATGTGATCCTTTCAAGATGGAGCACTAAATTATCACTTGTTGGGCATCCTGCCATAGCCTTTCACATTCCATAAAAACAGATATGTACAAGGCCACTGTCAACATACTGATGCACCCAAAATAAATCAAGTGGCAGATACCTATACTCTGGTGATCTTTACAGGAGAATAAAAGACGACGACGACCTGGGTTCCTTTAGTCCAGTGGCTCTCAATTATTTTCTGTCATGCCCCCGCAAGAAGAAGAAAACATATCGCACCCCCCTTCGTGACTATAAATACCTGTAGTATTATTTGTCTATAAAATTGTTGTAAGTACACCTCTGCATAACACTCTATCCTTATTAACGTATAAGAGAATAAAAAAGGAAATATGGACCAACTTACAACAAAGAATAGCGTTATTAACTGTAACAGAAAAGAGTTAAAGTGCATCTGAAATTCAAAAGGAAAATTAATTCCTTAATTTAACTATAAACATTTTTTGACTGACCATGTCAAACCATACGACACTGAAAGATAAAATTACATAAAATCAATAACTAATAATCAATATTCGGCACGTTTTCTCTGAAAAAAACTCTTTTATCAACGAGATTGGGGTGTAATGTCTTTAAGTGACGCCTTAATTCATTTGGCTTCATGCTGTCCGATGTCTTTCCTCCCACCATAGTCACAGTGAAGCCAAGCACTATATACACTTCGTCATATTTACTCATCTTCGCTTTCGGTAGACCTGTTTTCTCCGTCTCTCTCTCTTCGTCTGTCGACTTCGTGTCTACAATTCAGACTCATACTCTGTGCCGTGTGCAAAGCGCGCATGCTCAGTGCGAACAAAACACCGAGCGAATGCTCCCTGCACACTCTGCCAAGGTGAGCGCCACTGCCCCCTAATGTAGTTGAGGTGCAATTGCACTTTATTCTAGGACAGTAAAAAAAAAAAAAAATCAAAATAAAGTGCGCCCCACTATTTGAGAACCACTGCTTTAGTCCCATCAACCTTAGAGTGCAAAGACCGGAAATAATGCTCCAGTGACGATTTCTACATTGCACCTTTAAAGTGGTGTTCATTTTTGCATGTGTCAAGTTACAAAAACGTAGTGATCAAGACCAGCGGTCTCCAACCCCCGGGCCGTGGACCGGTACCGGTCTGTGGGTCATTTGGTACCGGAACGCACAGAAAGAACAAAGAATTTTACACAACCTCCTTTTTTTAAAATTTCGGAATCTGAAAGATGTCTTAGGCGTAGAAAAAAAAAGTAGTCTGTTTCCGGCAACCCGACCGACCGAGAACTTCTACGTCGAAAAAAAACTTTACGGTCGGCATTTTTTTCAAACAACCCTCTACATTTTTGTGTAGAGGGTTTACATCGGTGCAAACTTTCGCGATATTCACGTTGAGCGCGTGCGTTGTTTGCCCTGTCGTCTGTCAACAACATTGAAACATGGCGGCGGCCGCGATCTCCGACGACAGTTAAAACCGCGTTTTCTGTGTTACAGACAGTCGCATGCTCGCACCGTAATGTTAAGAAAATAGCATCCATTGATGTATCGAAAAAATTCAGCAAACTATTTGATGAACACCACGGGCCGAGTAAAAACCGGGGGCGGAGGAGGACGGCGGTGGAGACGGCGGCGCGCCCCGGCCCCCCGAGTCCGGAGCGGGGAGAAAACTAAATAGGTGGCGGCCGTGCCGGCCACGGAGCGGCGGGTTGAATGTCTTCTTGTTTTATGGTGATTTTGTTTAAATTTTTGATGGAAAGAAAAAAAAAAAAAAACTTTGTCCGACCTACTGACCCTATGCTGAAATTTCATGTTACCGGAAACACACACTCTTTTTTGTTTGGCCTTATTTTGAAAAAATACCGGATTCCCTGTTGCATCCGTCTACAGTAATAATAATACCGTATTTTCCGCACTATAGGGCGCACAAAAAAGTCTTCCATTTTCTTAAAAGCTCACTGCGCGCATTAAAATCCGGTGCGCCCTATAGAATTTATTTTGTGATTTCCTCGATTGATTTTCTGTTTTTATGCATTATTTTTAATTTTTCGTAATTTCATTGAAGTACTGTAATCCTTAATTTACGGTTTTCGGGGGAGGTCATGAACACCTCTCGAGTCGAAAGGAAGGAGTGTAGCTCCATCTAGTGGATGCATTGTAGATTGCGTCTTATAATTCAGTGCGTCCAATATATGAAAAAAAATTTAAAAATAGACCATTCATTGAAGGTGCTCCTCATAATCCAGTGCGCCTTTTAGTGCGGAAAATACGGTACATTTTATTTAGAAGCGCCTTTCAAAACACTCCAGGTCACTTTACAATCAAGATCAAGAACAATAAAAATTGCGGGTGAGCAGCGGCAACCAAACGTGCCAGCATTCACTCAACGCACCGTGTCACTGGCGCGCTTCTCAGTCACGTGATAGGTTACGGCGAAAATGAAGCCCGGGAGCTAGCAAAATGAGTAAAAAAAAAACAAAAAAACAAACGGCTTTGGAAAGTTTCTTTGGGAAGGGGAAAAGGCCCAGCCAGGAGACAGAAGAGGAGCCTACAACTTCCAAGAAAAAGAAGCTGGCTACATTTACCAGACAGTATCAGGAGTCCTACTTAAAATACGGATTTATCACAATGGGAAATTCCCACGCACCAAGCCCACTTTGCATTATATGCAGGGGAGGAAACTGGAGTACCCGGAGAAAACCCACGCAGACACGGGGAGAACAGGCAATGTCCACACAGGAAGGCCTGAGCCAGAATCGAACACTGCACCTCTTCACTGTGAGGCAGACATGCTAACTAGTCGACTATCGTGCCCCCATTACACAATCCAAAATCGAGCGATAACATAAGGCTTAATCTCACTGAAAGTTGACCTACTTAAACCCAATTATTTCCCTATTCCCATCCTGCCCAATCCTCATCTGCTCTGCAACAGTGGTGCGAGGTTTCAGCTCATGGCTGCAAAAGTCACTTATTTGCAATCATAACCAATCACACCTACTGGCAACTTAGACCTCTCAAATATGTCTGTTGCGACTGAATAAAGGAAAAACTTCTTGTGAAGGAAGCCTTACTGTTTGAAAGAACGGGTTCAATTGTGGGGAAGTGAGGCAAAGATCTGTGACATCAAATAAACATTAGAGAGACCCCTTAGTTTGAAAACAATTTATCTGGGCAATGACATCTTGCATACAAATTGACACATGTATTTGTGTTAAACATATTTGTGGAAATCAGCTGCTCGAGAATATAATTACTATAGTTTCCGCACTATAGGGCACACCAAAAAGTCTTCAATTTTCTTAAAAGCTCACCGAGCGCCTTAAAATCCGGTGCGTCTTGTGTATGGTCATTACGGTAATACATCGACTCCAAGATGGCTCCTTCCTGGAGACATGCTTCCAATGTTATAACTTGCTGTTGGTTCAGTGAACTGTGTCGCTGCTTTATGAAATAAGTTTTTGTTGCAGCTCTGAAAAAAGGAGAGCTGTGGTGTTAATTTTTTAAGAGTCTCAACAAATACAGGTACGTCTTTGTCCGTCTTCCGTTCGACTCGAGAGGCGTTCAAGACCGCCTCCGAAAAACGTAAACTAACGATTACTTCAATGAAACTACAAAAATTGAAAATAATACATAAAAACTGAAAAGCAAGCGAGGATATCACAAAATAAATTCTATAGCCCCCCCCTACAGAATTTATATTGTGATTTAATCATTTGAGAATACACAACAAAGGAAAAAGTAACTACGACTGACATTTGATCATACTGTTGGATCTGCAGTACAATTAAGGAAATGCCAAAATGCGTTTTTCAGAGGTGGTCATGAACGCCTCTCGAGTTGACCGGAAGAAAAGAAGGCACGGAGACGGACAAAGACGAACCTGTATTTGTTGAAAAAAGGAGAGCTGTGGTTGTGGTTTTAGTTTTTTTTTTTTTTAAACGCACATTTTCTTATTGGTTTTCACAGTCTCAACAAATACAGGTACTGTACGTCTTTGTCCGTCTCCGTGCGTTCTCTTCCGTTCCACTCGAGAGGCGTTCATGGCCGCCTCCGAAAAACGTAAATTAATTATTACTTCAATGAAACCACGAAGAAAATCAAGCGAGGAAATCACAAAATAAATTCTGTAGGGGGGATGTAGAATTTATTTTGTGATTTCCTCGCTTGATTTTCTGTTTTGATGCATTATTTTCAATTTTCGGAGTTACATTTAAGTACAGTGAAACTCCTCTAGAACGAAACTTACATGGGCGAAAATACCCCCTAATGTGAAAAAATCTTCATGCATTAACACCATTCTCATTCTCCTGCCCCCCATACGACGAAAAAAACCCTGCTGCATTATACGAAATCATTTTCTCTGCTCCAGCCCCGCAAAGACATTCACTACAACGAAGTCTAATCCAACAGGGACCTCTACTGCTTCATTCGGAAACGGCAACAGCAACCACCACACTGGTTTCCATAGTGAACGATGCTTATTTCGGTCACAGCTGGGAACGCAACATACTCATAGCTGCTCTGCCATTGGCTTACCGAGCATCATGCTGGCCTCCGATTGGCAAGAGGGACCTCACTGTCGATGTGTGTAGATACTGTCGCTCGATCCGTGGACGATAGAGTGGAATGCATCCGATTAGCTGCTGAGTAAATTGCTTGTGGCTCGACAGACAGTCAAATAAACGAACGTTTCCTGGAATGCTTTACTTGTTATCATGCTAAAAACACCCACGGGACGCTTCGTAGTCCTCGATGGCCATAGTTAGCTCTCGAAGGCTAAAAACCTTACGCTAACTGGAGCGCTAATGAGAGAGAAGCGCTAATGAGAGAGAAGCGCCCCAGTGAGTCTGACTTTAACCCATCAAAACCCTAAGCGACGTATAAGCAACATCCTGGAATCAAGACCATGTGATAGTCATGTGACTGTGACAGGAAGTGACTTCTCCAATTTGCTGGTATTGCTGATGTGCTAACTTCAAAGAGACAGCCAACTTCAAAGAACTGTTATGTGATACTACAGGTAATTTCAAACTCATTTGACAGTTCCATTACTTTGATAACATGTCCTATAGTGCCCTCTACCTGGTCTCACCATAGTTAATGAAGAAACTAATATCAAACCAGGGATCGAAATATCGCTGTGACATACATGTCACATTGGGCTTACAGCCTTAAAATATGAATGAAAAGCTTGATGTGACATATTTGTCACAATAAGAAAAATTGTAATAATCCACCCAATTTATTTTGGTGTATCTGCTATATTCAGTTGAAGTATGTTCTGTTTTTCAATTAAAATTGTACTGAACATATAGAAACAAAATAATGTGAAAGTAAAACACTTTTTTGGAACTTTAACGTAATCCTAACGCAGTTTTGCTATCTTATGCTTATCCCACAAAAAGAAATATCTAATTATTGTGTCTTCTGTACTTTATTTTTTAATAAATTTTTAGACTGCAAAAGAACAAGAAATACTCTCTTCAAAATGCACTCAAGATCATCCTGGGAGATGACAGTGACTTTGAAGGTTGTGACGATAACTCAGATGAAGACCCAGATGACCCTCTTTAAAATCCCAATAGCCAAGACAGGGAAAGTGATGAGTCAAGTGAATGTGGTCAGACAGTAGTGAATCAAGTACTTCTGATGTGAAGGGCAAGCCCCACCCTTGGGGACTGAAAATTTGGAGTCGCTGTTGTTCTTCAGGAATCCTCTGTGATTTTGTAGTGTATGAAGGTGGCACTGGGAAAAAATCTTTACTTGGCATGGGAGGTGATGTTGTGGTCAAGCTTTGTGAAACTCTCCCATCAGACCACAACTACAAAGTCTTTGCGGACAATCTTTTTTCTTCAGTACCACTGGTACTCAACCTTCTTCAACGAAAGATCTACTTTGTGGGAACTCTGCGTGGCAATCGCTTAGCTGGGTGTCAGCTTGAAGATGATAAAAGTCTTGCCAAGAGAGGCAGAGGATCTGTTGACGCCAGAGTGGAAAAAAAAGAAAGGCTGGTCATTGTCAAGTGGTATGACAACAAATCTGTTACCCTGATCTCATCCTATTGTGCAGTTGAGCCTCAAGATAATGCTCGACGCTGGAGCAAAGCAGACAAGACATTTTTGGAGGTCAGGAGGCCACACATTGTGAAGGAATATAACACATTCATGGGAGGACTGGATCTCCTTGATGCATGCATTGCAAGATGCAAGTATCACATGAGGTCACGGAGGTGGTACCTCTACTTGTTCTGGCACACCATCATGTTAGGTCTAGTTAATGCATGGTTGATCTACCGCCGTGACTGTAAACTACTTGGTGTCAAAAATGTACTGCGACAAAAGCCCTTCCAGGCAGAGGTTGCCACTAGCCTCATTCTTTTGCAGGCATCAAGAGGCCGACCATCACTCAATCCCACATCTTCATCACCATCACCACCACCACCACCGCCCAAAAGGGTTCGTCTTGGAGTTCCAGATGATGTTCGCTCTGACCAAGTTGCACATTGGCCTGTGAAATGTGACAAACGCGGCCGCTGCAAACACTGCAAAGTCAACGCGACGACCACTCTCTGTGAGAAATGTGATGTGCGTCTTTGCTTCACTGAGGAACGCAACTGTTTCAAGTCTTACCATCTAGTGTAGGCTAAACCCCCCCGCCCCCCCACAACTTTTGTTTTTGGGTCTGTTGTTCAGTTCTCTGTACCCATGGTAGCTTGTTACAAATGCAAACAAATATGCAGCATTATTTATTTTTGATAAAGTTGGCAATTTTGTGACACAAAGCTAAACTGAAGAATTTTATTTCAAACCTTGAAAAGATTTAAAGTGCATCTGAAATTCAAAAATAACATTAAATCCTTAATTTAACAATAAATCTTTTTGACTGACCATGTCAAACCATACGAAACTGAAAAATAAAATTACATAAAATCAATAACTAATAATGCATTCACACTAATCACCAACATTATCTCAGGAGCACATTAAAAAAAAAAAAAAAAAAAAAACCTTAAACCCAAAAAAACCCATTTTTTTTAAATCAAAGATGATGTCTGGATTAATGGCTACAATGAGCACTTTTTGCAAAGCACAGTTTTTCGAAGCGAGGTTTGAAGCAGGACACAGCAACTCTCGGCTCCTGCTCAATGTGGAGCAGAGACCTGTATTTTAGTTTACTGAAGTAGCAGTCACAAAGCGGCATAATTGTGGGCAATATTCGGCACGTTTTCACTGAAAACAACTCAAGCAGCTTATCAGCGTGATTGGGGTGTAATGTCTTTAAGCGACGCCTTAATTTATTTGGCTTCAGGCTGTCAGATACCAAAATTTTTAGACACAGTAAGCACATCGATCTTTCCTCGTCTGCAACCGCAGTCACATTGAAGCCAAGAGCTACATACGCCTCGTCATATTTCCTCCCTGAGAATGCTCCCTGCACAAACTGCCAATGAGAGCGCCACTAACGCCAATGAGAGCGCCCCCTAACATAGTGGAGGTGCAAATGCACGTTATTTTAGGACAGTAAAAAAAATAAAAAAAGCATGTTCTCCGAGGTCAAACGCGCCCCCCTTGACGCGCCCCACTATTTGAGAAACACTGCGCTAACTGAAGCGCTAATTAGAGAGAAGGCGAGTTCCATCACGCTAACTATGGCCATCGAGGACTACGAAGCGTCCCGTGTTCATTACAGTTCAAAGTAAATAATGTAAAGTTCATTACATGACATCAGCTGAGCAACGCTGTCTTGGGTGGCAATCGAGGGGAGGTCAAGTTAGAGACAGAGAGATGGTGGAAAGAAAATCCACTGGGTCCAGGAAGTATTTGTTATTTTTAGATTCAGACGCAGCATGAACGTTGCATTGCTAAAATGGCT